AAAACCTTGATTCTGATCATGCAATTATATACAAATCCATCTTCTTATTGGGCATCCATGACCTCACTGAATCCATATCAGTTACTTTGATTCTAGTTTTAAAAAAAAAAAAAAAAAAAAACACAAAAGCAAATATTATTGAAGTGACAAAAACATTTATTTTAAGCAGCAAAAGCAATGTAGTAGAAAAATGCTGCAAGACTTAAAGGATAAGTTCACCTTTGGGAACATGTTACATGTTCACACTGCTGCAGCCACTGCCTGCTGCCTCCCCTCCCTGTGACAGCAGTACAGGGAACCGTTCCCGTCACTGGCTGACAGTTTTTTAAATTAGCGTAGCCGTGCGCTGGTCCACCCACACAGCTGTGTGGTTCACAGAGTTCTGTGAATGAATGGACTACAAGTACCAACATCCTTTGCGGATGTCTACTTGTAATCCTCAATGAACTACCACAGCGCTGTGGTAGTTCATTTAGTACAACTGTGTTTGTGCTGGAGACCTGCATGGCACTGGCCATCTGCTGATCATCACTGGTACAATGCTTTACAGTCTCAAAAAAAAAAATAAAAAATAAAAATTATAAATGCAAAAATCCTGTTAAAAAAAAAAAAAAAAAAAAAAAAAAAAAGTGCATTTATTATTATTTTATTTAAAGTGAATTTATCTTTTAACATTCCCTGACTGCTGTCAGCAGAGCAGGTGATAATCATGTCTGTGGGCACCTTCATATTGGTCAGGCAATCATTCAACTAAAGATTTCATCCTGGCCAGTCAACATTCAATCAGAGGGAGGGACAGTTATATACATTCAACACAACACTCCAAAAACACATTTTTGTGAACTACTGCATGCCGCGTACTGATCACGCCCAATTAAGCATTAACTATTGACTGACTTGACCAAAGGGCAACAAAGAAAGTGCAAAATGGATATGGGTCTGCACTGTAACATTTTCATCTCAAAATCACTTTTCTCTGTTAAAGAGGACCAGTCAAAAATTAATATACGTAGTAATGTTTCCACAATAACGCAGTTTTACATGTTAGGAGTACAAGGTGTGACAGTTTAATTCCCAGAATGCCTGTGGCATAACAAAATTGTTTGGGGAGTCACACAGCCATTGGCAATCGAGTGTGCATTGCACTGTTGGCAGAAAATAAGCAACAGGAATCTGGAGCAGTGGATTCACATCAAATTTTGTGTGACAATTGGCAAAAGGCTTATAGTAAACATTCCATAAAGAAATCAAGTTTTGCTGAATGGCAGAGGTGGTTCAAAGAGGGGCAGGAATATGTCCATGAAGACACAAGCAGTGGTCAACCAAAAATGCAAAGGATGGATAGAAATGTGGACACACGATGCAGACCCTCGTACACTTGGGTCAAAGATTAGGTGAGAGAATAATGGCAGAATAATTGAACATGCACAGGGAAAAAGTGAGGTTGATTTACGAATACTGGAGAGTGCAAAATGTGGTGAAGCTCTGCACAGAAACCAATCAGCCTCCAGGTTTTTTGTCAAAGCTTAAATTGAACAAGGTTAAGTTAAGTTAGATGCTGATTAGCTACCATAAAGAGCTGCACCAGATTTTACACTCTCCAGGTTTAGTAAATCAGCCCCAGTATGGCAGATTCTAACAGAGGATTTGGGAATGAGAAAGATTTCTGCAAAGATGGTGCCTCGAATCTTGGCAGAAGATCAGAAAGAACAAAGTCCTAAAATGTCATCTGATCTTTTGAATAATGCAGAGGTGTTGGATAGACTTATTACCAGTGATGAAACATGGTGGGTTATTTACTAAACCTGGAGAGTGCAAAACTTGGTCCAATCAGTTTCCAGGTTTTATTGTAAAGCTTAAAGTGAACAAGCTGAAATTAGAAGCCAATTGGCTACTATGCACTGTACACCAGGTTTAGTAAATCTTTCCCAGTATAATCCGGAAACAAAAAACGCCAGAGCATGCAGGGGAAAACAAAGATTTCACCTCAGCTGTAGAAAGAATGCATGTCTCATTATCATTTCAAAACATTTACTGGTGTGTTTTAATCAAAAGGGGATAGTTCACCACAAATTCATAGAACATGGTACAATGCTCAACCAACTTTCTGAAAAGGTTATGGGAATTTGAGGAAAAAAAATAGGAACTCTGGCCTGACAAGTGGATTCTTCACATAGTTCCTCCACTTGATGCAATAAGTGTTTTCGAGTTTCAGACCCAGAAATCCATTTTGAAACTTGACCAACCACCTTTCTTCCCCTGACTTTGCACCCTGAGACTTTTGGCTGTTTCCAAAATTAAAAAATGCCTTAAAAAAAAAAAAAGACACAGATTTCATGACATTATGGACATGCAGCGATAAGGCTACTGTGCAGCATTCAAGAAAATGAATTCCAGAAATGTTTCCAGCAGTGGCATAGTTATTTAGAAAAGTGTGTCCCTTCACAAGGGACTGCCTGGAAGGTGACAACAGCCGTTTATAGTGTATAGGAAAGCAAACATTCTGGGAATTAGATTGTCACAACCCATAGTTGCAAAAGCTGGTACACATTTGTATTTTCTCCTTCTCAGAGGAGAACCTTTAACCACCTCCCGCCCGCCCGCCATATAGTAAATATGACGGACGCAAGGTGGTTCTCTCGTTCTGGGAGGACGTCATATGATGTACTCCCATTCTCACCGCGCATGCGCAGCTCAGGGAGCGAAGATGTCGGCTCGGTCATGTGATCAGCTGTGTCCAATCACAGCTGATCACATGTAAACAGGGAAATTCCGGTTGTTGGCATTTCTCTCCTCTCGAGCGGTCACGCTGACTGCTCGAGAGGAGAGACGGTAATCGGCTTTCCGCGTAGGGGACATGTACAGTATGCCCTGATGATCAGTGTAGCCCCACCTGTCAGTGTCCATCAGTGCCTTGTGTCAGTGCCCATCAGTGCCACATCAATGCCACATATCAGTGCCTACCAGTGCACATCAATGTCACATATCAGTGCCCATCTGAGCTGCCTTTCAGTGCCACCTATCAGTCAGTGCCGCCTAACAGTGCGCATCAGTGCTGCCTAACAGTGCTGTGTATCAGTGCTGCGTATCAGTAATGCCTGTCAATGCCCATCAGTGCCACCTATCAGTGTCCATCAGTGCAGCCTATCAGTGCCCATCAGTGCAGCCTCATTAGCGCATATAGGTGGAGGAGAAAAATCACTTATTTACAAAATTTTTGTAACAAAAACTAAGAAAAAAAACTTTTTTTCAAAAAATGTTTTCAGTTTTTGGTTTAAGAAAAATATAAAAAAACCCAGAGGTGATTAAATACCACCAAAATAAAGCTGTCACAAAAAAATATAAAAATTTCATATGGGTACAATGTTGCATGACTGCGCAATTTTCATTCAAAGTGCAACAGCGCTGAAAGCTGGAAATTGGCCTGGGCAGGAAGGGGTTATAAGTGCCCTGTAGGCCACCGGTTAAAGTGGTTGTAAAGGCTGAAGGTTTTTTAACTTCACGCATTCCTGAGCCCCTCTCAATCCGGCTATGTGCACGGGAGCTTCAAGCTTCCCATATATCTCTCTTCTCATTGGCTGAGACACAGCTGCTGAAGCCATTGGCTCCCACTGCTGTCAATCACAGCCAGTAAGCATATGTGGAGAGAGTGGTGGGTGGGGCCGATTTACAGTTCGGCTGGGGATGAGGGAGCTCAGTCTCATGTGACAGCCGCAGCACCCTGGTTGAAAAAGGATGCTCTACATAACACAGGGAGTGTGTTTTAGCAGCTCACAGAAAAGGTTGATAAGCATAAGTTTGAGAGAACAATAATCTCGATTTCTGGCAGAATTAACAGGTATTGTTTTCATGTATAGAACATATAATAAAAAACATTTTCAATATGGTATATTTAACAGATGAAAAGGATGCAAATAAGAGAAGTTCATTTTTAGAGTTTACATACACTCTAAAGTATAGATTCAGAATTTTACAAAATGCCCATTTGCAACTGGTTCTCTTTAAAAGATTTCTTCAATCTGCTTCCGAGTATGAAATGGAAGGTAGGGGGACTGGCAGGAACACTAGGTATTTCACATAAAGGAAAACAATGCTTGGTACAACAGGCACTTATCAGGAATATGAAATGTTCTTTAAAGTGGAACAAAAAACACCTTCTTTCATGTTTGGAATCTTCCGCCATCTTGATTGGCAGGGCTGAAGTAATGCAAGTCCCACACATGCACACAAGAGTTCATTCATTCATTCATTCATTCAGTACAAAAAGGTGTGCTGACGATATACACAGTCTTTTTTAGAATGTACACTGAGCTGTGCATGTACAGCTCAGTGTACATTCTAAAGAAGACTGTGAACAGGCAGGCAAGTTAGTTTTATTGTGATAGGGACAAATTATGTATGTCTCTTCTGTGATAAAGTGCCTGCTGCAATTTACATTTTTTTTAGTTCTGCCAGCTACTGAGGCTAAGTAAGCTGGGAATTTTTTGTTAGTTGCCACTCCATGTGCCCCTTCCTGCAAAGGCTAGTTATACATTGGGGAAGTTGTCACTTGTCCTTGGTGCAGGGACGCACTGGATACCTTCAGCTGCCATTGTGCTCTTGCTGGGTGTCCCGTGTGCCCCCGTACCTTTAAAGGAAAGGGGGGCTCCATCCAGGCAAACCTGTTCTTAATCTGTCCACTACTATACATGCGCCAACCTGGGAGACTCTCAAAGAGTTAGGACTGCAGTACACTGGGGTGCCCTGACGTGGCCCCTGCAGCTTACACATACATTTGCAAATGTGTGATTAACCCTTTGTTTTTAAACGAACTGTTAGATAGGGTCAATTTGTTTTTTTTGCAGGCTGGCTGATAAGTTAACTGGGAATTTGTGTTTGTTTTTGACCAGCCACTGAGGAGCAGTACAAAATCGGTTCACAGAAGAAATCTAGCTAACAAATGCAGATATTTGCAGTGGGATGAAGAAAACAGTCATATATTGTCACCCACCCTAAACATTTCAGTGTAAACATACCCGTTTCATTATTTCATCCCTGGTTGTGAAATGTGGAGCATCATCGACATGAATACCTTTTGCCATAGCAAAAACTCTTCCTAAAAGTTCATCACTGTATCTGTAAATGCACATGTTTTAATACATCAGTATACCAGCTTACATATATTGTAACTTAGAATGAACAGAACATGAAAGTGCATCTATTAACATAAGCAACCCCCCCTCCTTTTTCCCCCTCTTTATACTTACCTAGTCACTGGGGCAAAAAAAGTCCTCTTTGTCCCTGTGATTTCATTATACGGGCTCAAGAAGTCTTTTCTGTGCAAAGAGGAGGGATCGTAGAGGATGCTGTTTGTCACTTCCTACTGAAGCAGGAAAGTTGCTAACTCTACCCCTAGGCAAAGTGGACAGGCTGTCAGTCACAACACCTATGGTGGAGCTGGGCATTTCTTGGTAGTGAACTATCCTCCTCTGCCTACACAAGCTGCATAAGGTGACAACAATGTAGTGATCTTACTACAAGGGAATCGGTGTTATCACCCATTTTGAAAAAAAAAGGACCTCCCACTTGCAAGATTACCAGGTATTTGTTAGTGAAAAAATGAAAACATAAATTTGATAATATACACTTATTACTCTTTATTTGCATTTACCAATGCTGTGATGTTTTCATATGGTAATATTTGTCCATAAATAAACACGGGTTTATTTAAAAGGCTTCATGCATAGGCTGCAAGGGGACTGAACAGCTCAACATTTGGCTGTACTTCCACGACGGGATTTACTATGGTTGCATACGGCCACTCAAAAGCATCAGTGGTTGAGCATGGCTGTGAGCAGCTATAAGATGCTACATGTGTAAACATGCACATACCATCGAGTGTATGACTCTGGCTACAGACAAGCCCAGAGTTGCATGTTCATACACATATGCGTTTATATAAGTAGCAGGATACAGACATTGAATGCTATATGGATGGCTGTACACAGCATCTGTGGGACCCAGGGACAAATAGGCCTGAATGTACGATCCTCTGGGAGCTGTGTGCATGTAGCCCAAATGTTCTTAGCTAAGACTTACAGGACTTTCGTGCAGGCTTCACATCACTTTCTAATTAATTTGGAAAAATGTGTTCATTCTGGGTGAAAGGTGTGTGAATCTTGTGAAAACAAGATGAATAACATGCATATACACAATCTCCACTGTAATTATAATACATTTGCTTTATTATTCTAATAATTGTATCACTTAGCCAACATGTTAGCTACTAATACAGTCAATCAACAGTAAATAGCTTCATGGCTTAACACAAGCATAGATCTATACTGAGACAAAAAAGATAAACACACACACACACAAATGGACCACTCAGTCTTTTTCTGCTGTCACTTTTCTGTTTCTATGTTTACTTATAAAATTGTATAATATACCTGGGTAAGCCTAGCTACTGTAGCCTTACAAGTCAAACTAGGCTACACCAACCCCAGAAAAGGCAATGCTGTGACCACAAATGGTCATACACCAGGGCTTGACAAATTTGCTTTGAATCTAGGAGCCAGCTAAAAAAGTTAGGAGCCGGTTTTTTTTTTAACCACTTGCCTACTGGTTACTTTCGACCCCTTCCTGCCCAGGCCAATTTTCAACTTTCAGTGCTGTCACACTTTAAGCCCTGGTTCACATCTGTGCGGTCGTGTGGCCTGCGATTTGCGTGGGCACGAGAGCCCATTCATTTGAATGGACTCCCGTGCCCCGGGACATGCAGGGAAGAAATCCCTGCACTACTTTGGAAATCGCAGCCCGCACGGGAACTGAGGTTCCCATTACGGTTACAATTTTCAGTGCGTACGGCATGCCATTAGAACTAATGGCACACGCCTGTGGGGCCCACCTTCCCGTGTGTGTGTGTGTGTGTGTGTGTGTGTGTGTGTGGTGCGGCTGAAGGTATTTGTGCGGGTTCTGCACCAGCACCACCCATACAGATGTGTGGTCATACAACATTGTGTCCAAACTGGCCCTTTGCTTGTCTTTATCTGGCCCTTGAGGCATTATTCCTCCCGCTGACACCCAACGGTGGGACACCATTCCTCCCGCTGACACCCAATGGTGGGACACCATTCCTTTGGTGGGACACCATTCCTTCCATTAACACCAACTATGGGGCACTATTCCTCCCGCTGACACCAACTATTTCTCCCCCTAACACCAAAGATCTTTCATACGCCCACTGTGCACATCCCAGCCCCCCTAAAGTCTACCTACAGTAAACTGGCCCTTTGTTTAAAAAGGTTTGGAGACCCCTAGTCTAGGGAACAGGAGAAACAGTTTTGGGGCTGGGTAAAGAAATCCCTAGACACAATCAATTAAACCTTGCAGTGGGGTCCCAGCTCCACTGCAAGGAATCATTTTTTTTTTAGTTCCCTGGAGTTGGACTTTAAAGCGGAGTTTAAAAAAAAAAAAAATACATAAAAGTCAGCAGCTACAAAATACTGTAGCTGCTGACTTTTAAAATTAGGGCACTTACCTGTCCAGGGATCCAGTGGTGTCCTCACCCCAAGCCAATTCTTAAATCGGCTATCGGGCGCTGACGAAGAGAAAACCAGAAGTGTCCCAGAGGGCCGGGGGTGAACTTCCAGCTCAGTTCCCCCCCAGAATGTGCCAAATGTGGCAAAGGGGGGGGGGGGGGGGGGGGGGGGGGGGGTGAGAAGGCAGAAAAACAGTTTACACTTTTGGTTGGAACTCTGCTTTATCAACCATCCCATTTATAAATTATCAGAGTCTTAAATACCTTCAATGGTGGATATAAAGGAGAATGCACGGTACATGACCGGCTTTAGTTATCTGCAGAGCAGCCAAGGAGGCACACAAAGAATACACAAGATATATACCTGCATCCCATGAAGACATGATTAGCCCAGACCATAGACAAAGCCAGCAGCTTATCCATCTCATTGTCACCCTGAAAATTCATCAGATTTCTTAGCAGAAATTCCTCCCTCGCTCGCCATTGTTTGTCACTCTCACAGAAACTCTTAAACTGCTTCACATAATCCGCCTCCATGCTTTCTATTGTAGAATATACGGAAATGCAGAGGAGCGATTTCCGGCTTGTCCTCTATGGTAACAGCTGAAATTATCTTGTCTAGCCGTTGACTCTATGGTAGCTAGATGTTGTGCCTCCGTAGTAACCGTGATGTCACGCGGAGAGAAGAGCGACGCGCAGTGGTCAAGTTGGGGAAGTGTAAAATGGGGTTTTGGCAAAGGCTATGGGAATATGGAAGAGCGAGTTTTATCGAGTGACCGTAGGTGTTGTAACCTTAGCAGAAGTGTTTGCATTGTAGTAGATTATTTTTATGAGCACTTACAGTTCTAAAAACGAAAGAAAAACATTACAATTTAGAATCATTATATTAACCTAAGCTTCAATGGTTAGGTACCTGTTTTTCACTGGATTAAAGCGGAGCTCCACCCAGAAGGGAAGTTCTGCTTTAAGGCTTTGTCCCCTGCTCCCCATTAAGGATTGGCCCCTTTGGGGAGTGGGTGCCCGAATTTGACAGGTACCCGCTCCCACTTTTGCTGCGATTAACTAAGGCGATCGAAAGCAGAAGTTGTCCGCCCCCCACTCCCTCCCCGTAGTCTTTTGGGACACATGACAGGTCACAGAAGACTGTCATGTGTCCAAGACTGTCATGTGACCTACTCGCGCATGCGCAGTGGGCACCCGGCTGTGAAGCTGAAAGCTGTCACAGCCAGGTGCCCATACTGAAGATGCCGATACCGGGGAGAGAAGACAGCCGGTGAAATGGGCTGTGAGGAGGACACCGCTGGACCGAGGGACAGGTAAGTGGCTGTATTTTAAAAGTCAGCAGCTGCAGTTTTTGTAGCTGCTGACTTTTATTTTTTTTTTTTTAATCAACTGGAACTCTGCTTTAATAAGAAACTTCTCACACCTTTCTGTATTTTAAAAAAAAATCTTTTTCTTTTTTTTTTTGCTGTGGTCTCCAAAACAAGTGTGTCCACCCAACAAATCAAGTGGCATTCTGTAGTTATCAGCGGCTGGACGCCTGCCTTTGACAGCCTGAATCTGTCAAAGCCAACAGCCAATCATAGGCAGCGGTAGCATGCGGCACATATGCAAGGGGCGTGTATACATTTGACTGTGGAGTGTGATGAATGCCTTTGTCACCTGTGATTAACTTTTGTCTTTAACAGCTTTGGCCACAGGATAGCTCACGCGGGTTCAGAGCTGTGTCCGAACTCACCTGAGCACATCATTTCCTTCAACGCCATCTTCCTCTTATGTCATTACTGGTATGGCTGCCCGCTGGTTTTTGCAGCTAGCCGCTTGATTGTGCAAACTATTCATGGGTGTTTGAGTATTGTGTGCTGTTTCTCTGCACAAGTCCAAGGTGGGGGTCACAGCAGGAGCGACAAGGCTCTCTGCCGTCCATGCTGGCAACATCAGACCGCGCCATTTATGCACATGCACGGCTCAGATGTCATTTAGGGCAGGGTGTAATGGCTGTGGCCATATTACTAGCATGTACAGAAGCTATATAGCTAGTGGCTATACTTCCAGCGGACACAGAGCAGGCTCCCGAGCTACGGGGATCTCATCGCAAGTTCTTGGACATGTGTGAATGGTTTTATCTTGCAATGGCATCAGTCATTTTGGAAACCCCACTTGTATATCATTTTGTTGTTCCTTAAGAGTTTAGTTAAAGGTGTGGGCTTTTTCCTTGGTTTTATCTTAGTTCAATAAAGTGGACTGTTTGGAGAGCAGCCGATCGGACGTCTTTGTTCTCGTCTATGCAGCACACGAGCTGGGCTAGCACCTACAGGAGGAGTTGTGCTTGGAGATTGGGAGTCTCTCTAGCTTGAGCAGTGGTAAACATATATGTGAGTTTTTTTCCTGTTGTGGACTATCAGTTGTGACAGATCCAGATATAAAGAAATATTCCAGAAATTGTCAGGCATAGTTGGGTTTTTCTTTGCAGTTAACATAATTTTTTATTTAACTAGAAAGACGTGTATTCATGCCAGGATGTCTTCAGGTGCAAGGATTTTCAGAAACTTCAGTTTGCGAATTCCAGGGGATCTGGAAATGCAGAGTTGCAGGTCACCCAATGAAGGCATGAGGGCCTTCATAAATTATTGTATTAGAAATGTAAGCATGGATTGAGATACACTTTCAATCTTATCAGTGATTTTAAGTTTACGCCACTGTATCTCAGTTTCATAATCTACATGCGCATTTACAAGATCGTTCAGTGCTACATAGGGATCTCCCATTTTGGATTATATATGCAGAAGTCTTTTAGTGTGGTCCTGTACAGGGAGATTACATTTGCCAAATAGTGCTTATCTCCGTGAAGAATATGCCTCAAAGAAAGTAGAGAAAATTTTTCTTAGCAGTTTGGCTGTCAATGGTGAATGAGTTGATCTGTTAGTGGCGAATTAGTGTTTATGGGGCTAGGCAGAATCTCAGCTTCTACCTCTAACTTTCTTTGATCTTAGCAAGGCTGCATGTTGTGGTGGCGGATAGAGGGGATGACTTTCCCAACCTGTTGGAACCATTTCCAGCGGTGTACAGCTTCACCTTTTCTCCTTGATCTCCTGTTGTCCTGTGTCTAGGTAAAAGTCAGTCGGATTTTATGGCCGGTCTGTCGGCCTGTGGCATTTGCACATGTCTGCTGGCACACTGCGGCTTAGGCTCAACAATGATTTAACCACGTGCCCTCCGAAAGATTTACCCTCCTTCCTGACCAGGCCATTTTTTGTGATATGGTGCTGCGTTACCTTGACAATTGTGCAGTCATGTAACGCTGTATATAAATTAAATGTATGTTATTTTTTCCCCACAAATAGAGCTTTCTTTTAGTGGTATTTGATCACCTCTGCAGTTTTTATTTTTTGCTCTCTAAATGAAGAAACACCGACATTTAATAAAAAAAAAACAATATTTTTTACTTTCGGCTATAAAACATATCCAATAAGATATTTTAAAAATCAAATTTCTTCATAAATGTAGACCAAAATCTATTCTGCTACATATTTTTGTTAAAAATCCTAATACGCGTATATTGATTGGTTTGTGCAAAATTTGTGTCTACAAATGGCGGTATATATATACTGGAAGTTTTTTTTTTTACTAGTAATGGCGGTGATCAGAGACTTATAGCAGGACTGTGATATTGTGATGGACAGTCTGACACTAACTGACACTTTGTGGGAACCACTAACACTAATACAGTGATCAGTGCTAAAAATATACAGTCCTGGCCAGAAGTTTTGAGAATGACACAAATATTAATTTACCTGCAAGGAAACATGTGCAGTCATCATTGCTTTGCAAAAAAAAAAAAGGGATTCACAGGCAAGGATATTGCTGCTACTAAGATTGTATCTAAATCAACCATTTATCAGATCATCAAGAACTTCAAGAATTGTGGTTTAATTGTTGTGAAGAAGGCTGCAGGGTGCCCAAGAAAGTCCAGGATGTGCCAGGACCATCTCCTAAAGTTGATTTAGGTGCGGAATTGGGGCACCACCAATGCAGAGTTTGCTCAGGAATAGTGATCAGTGCTAAAAATATACAGTCCTGGCCAGAAGTTTTGAGAATGACACAAATATTAATTTACCTGCAAGGAAACGTGCAGTCATCATTGTTTTTGCAAAAAAGGGATTCACAGGCAAGGATATTGCTGCTACTAAGATTGTATCTAAATCAACCATTTATCAGATCATCAAGAACTTCAAAAATTGTGGTTTAATTGTTGTGAAGAAGGCTGCAGGGTGCCCAAGAAAGTCCAGCAAGTGCCAGAACCATCTCCTAAAGTTGATTTAGGTGCGGAATTGGGGCACCACCAATGCAGAGTTTGCTCAGGAATAGTGATCAGTGCTAAAAAATATACAGTCCTGGCCAGAAGTTTTGAGAATGACACAAATATTAATTTACCTGCAAGCAAACATGTGCAGTCATCATTGCTTTGCAAAAAAGGGATTCACAGGCAAGGATATTGCTGCTACTAAGATTGTATCTAAATCAACCATATATCAGATCATCAAGAACTTTTGGAGGATGGCCTGGTGTCAAGTGCTGCAAAGAAGTCACTTCTCTCCAGGAAAACATCTGGGACAGACTGATATTCTGCAAAAAGTACAGGGATTGGACTGCTGAGGAATGGGGAAAAGTAATTTTCTGTGATGAATTCCCCTTTCTTATTGTTTGGGGCATCCGTAAAAAAACTTGTCCAGAGAAGAAAAGGTGAGTGCTACCAACAGTCCTGTGTCATGCCAACAGTAAAGCATCCTGATACCATTCATGTGTGGGGTTTCTTCTCAGCCAAGGGAGTGGGCTCATGAATTTTGCCATGAATAAAGAATAGTACAAAAACATCCTTCGAGAGCAACTTCTCCCAACCATCCAAGAACAGTTTGGTGATGAACAATGCCTTTTCCAGCATGATGGAGCATCTTGGTATAAGGCAAAAGTGATAACTAAGCGTAAGTGGCTTGGGGAACAAAACCTCAAATTTTGGATCCATGGCTGGGAAACTCCCCAGACCTTAATCCATTGAGAACTTGTGATCAATCCTCTAGAGGCGGATGAATAAAAAAACCCTCACAAATTCTGACAAACACCAAGCAATGATTTAGCAAGAATGGGTTGCCATCAGTCAGGATGTGGCCCAGAAGTTTACTGACAGTTTGTCAAAGCGAATTGCAGATGTCTTGAAAAAGAAGGGTCAACATTGCAAATATTGACTCTGCATAAACCTAATGTAATTGTCAATTTAAGCCTTTGACACTTATGAAATGCTTGTAATTATACTTCAGTATACCATAGTAACAGCTGACAAAAAGATCTAAAAACACTGAAGCAGCAGACTTTGTGAAAATAATTATTTGTGTCATTCTCAAAACTTTTGGCCAGGGCTGTACACTGTCACTGTATTAATGACACTGGCT